GTGGATGAACAAGTCTACTAGATATTCATTATGGCCATCACGAATACAACTCTGTAGATGGTTGAACATGGGTGCCTTGAATCCGGCCTCACAATTAGCAATCCGAAGTTTCATATTTCCTGGCCATAAAGTTAGATGTTTGACGGGGACGTGCGATGGAGGTAACGGATATTGACCTATCGTCTTGCGACATCATTCTGTAGATTGAGGGAGGACTGTTGCCGTATGAGGGAAGTTTAGGAAATTGTCGTGTTTGGAAAGTCGAGGTCGCCAGTATTTGTCAGTCAAGGATATCAGGTCAACTGTAACCACACCAGTAAGTTCGTCCGTCCAACGAGAATAGCCAGAGGGCTGCGAGAGTTATTCTGTACATAGGACAGGTCGTTGTCAGATGACAGTTCATTTGTGGGTCAAAACACGGCGTCAGTTGGGGTGCGGGAGTGGCGGTGGGGTGTTTGCGTGTGTCTAACGTGTCCGTGTCAGCACGTGAGATTGACTGGTTGGTCGTTGGCTGGCTCATGGGTTGAGTCGGGGCGCATGAGCACGACGTCGAAAGGGTAACAAGCCACACTGGTCTACGTGAGAGAAGGCGTCCGTTTGTGGGGACAGCCACGAATTAACGTATCGGGGCCAGGGGTGCGTCAGGTCAAGCCTAAGCGGCGACTGTACCTGAGTGGCTCGTGTGCAGGCTAGCTGGGTTATCGCGGCCACAGACTGACAAATAGATGTCAGGAAATAGGGCACTTGATCGGATCCCACGAGACCTTCGGACGCTCTGCAGCTTAATCAGGGATTTACATCCCCCTGCTTATTGGGTGTTTGATGTCATATTAAAGTGCTGTCAACTAATAAATTGTAACTGTACAGTGTTACTCCTTCGCCGCCCTTGTTTATCTTTGAAACACCCTTAAGTCTATACCGCTTGTCCTGATGCCTCAGTTATGGAGCTCATATAGGCGATCGCCAAACAACAAGAAATTACTCACATACAAGTATTATCGACAAAGATCCTATGCATATGGATGTTTTGGCATTTGCGTGCGTCAGGGGGGGGGGAGAAATCGATTAGTCTCGAAAAGGAATATGCTGAAATGTTCCGTCCTCTATAATAGAGAAGTCTGTATCAGTATCATGCCCGTGTTGTGCTATAAAGCATGCTCTCGGACAGTGATGAGACGCTTTTCAAGAACCGATTGCGTGCGAAACGCGATGAACTTGTAATACATACCATAATTCCTCGCGTCTAAACACTGGCTTAAATTGAACTTGAATTCAGAAGGGACTTGATGCCCTCTACGGTGACATAAAGCCCGACATAAAAAACGACAGTACATTTCAGAGGGGGGCCTGCTGAATACTGGGGGACACACTGATGGACCGGACACCTCGGAGGTGCGTCGTCAGGAAGTCGTCGAGACACGTCATTGACCTTTTAACTACTACCTGTTCTGCGAGTATAGCAAACAGATTAACATCCGCATACGACTACATACGCGTTGAAAGGTATGTATTTTAGGCGGTTGTTCCGCTGAAAGTGAGGGACTCCAGCTCGAATATTGGTTTCAACCCTCGGGCCGAGCCTGAAATGCGCTGAAATGCGAGGTTTGAGCAGTCTAGTAGGAGTAAAAGATTAAGCTAATAATGCGTATTCCGCATAGCTCTTTTTGGTCGATATTATCCTTCAACGATCTCACGTTATTACCAACAAAGACAAGGGAGCTCATCGATCGTTCTTACGGAGCTCACTCGTTCCGTTCTGCGTTACGGGCGCGCGCTCTCTCTCTCTCTCTCAGGCCCAACCAGCAGCCGCACAGCGGCGCATGATATAGGCAGTAAGTTATTACCAAAAAAGACAAGGGAGACTGGAATGGCCATTTCTGGCTTATTAGCCGATGTCAGCCAATCATACCCAATCCCGAAGTGTGGAGCACCCGACCTGTTGGTTAGAAGTCCACGCCTTTAACCACTGGGCCACGAGCCCGTTGCCCTGTCGGTTTCGATCGGGAATGTACAATATGCAACGAAATTTCAATACGGTCAAACAATTTGCTGGTCGGATTATAGATAACGTTGCCCATCCCTTGCATTCTGACCTTATTTCTGCGAAGTCTTACCGCCCGATGCGCCACGGCTTCCGACTTATCTCGTGCCGCACATCGGCATATATTCTGTATCGCCATTCCTGGCGCGCTATCTTACGTGTGAAGAGATAGAGGTACAGGGGCTAAGACTTAAACTGCCCCCATAATAATCGTCCCTTTTGTGTTAATCTTTTTGACCCTTAAGTAATCTATTAACTTATTTATTGCCCATAGTGAATGGAACCCACCTTTTGAATTTCGAACTTCAAAATAAGGCGAATTCCCCTCTCCCTCTTTGTCCGTACAAAGGAACATCCGATGGGGACGGCCTTTGCTTAACATTATTTGAGGACACTGATTTAATGTTATCGACAAAACGCCAGCAACCCTTATCTGACAAAGTAAGAAGTTATGGGCATAGGTGAACATTTTGAAATATTTGACAGAAGTTTGATCCTAGACTTGATGAACATAAAAGGACCGTTTGCCAATTCCCGCCTCAAGTAATTTCGCAGGATATGCTCGATGACGCAGGACACCATATTCCAGGGGGATGTGTGAGTTAAGTGCCCGACGCACGGCAGTAACCTACTCTCCGAAACCGACAGAATTTTCTCAGCAAAGATTAGCAGGCAACTATTTGCATTTGTTCATACCACACTGTCCGCACTAACTGAATTCCAGGGATTCGTAATTGCCAGAAGGGTGCTGAAATAGATACGTGTAATGACAAACGCCCCTGCCCGGCAGGCTACTACTGTAGGAGTGGGGTGACAGCTCTGTCCACTTGTGTTGGCAGTCCAAGGTCCCACTACCGTCCCCTTCATAGCCACAGACAACCCATCTTGATGCCTTGCTATTCCTCGCCGAATTTCCCCTCCACACCACACTACATATAGGACTCTGCCCACATCTGTCCCTCGTTACTGTGAACGCTTTCTGCAAGAGACTAATGTATCCCCTCACTCAATAGGCAAGTCAGTAAACATTAATGGTCTGACCTATGATTTGGGACTGCGCTGTTGTAGTGGAAAACAACCAGATCTTGCCTCCACAAGTCATCTCTGTGGCATTTTTCTTACCAGCAGACATAGAAACGCCGTTCGAACGGTCGATTGGTCGACGTTGAGGAGTTAACGCCCTCCTAGCATACGTCAGTAGTAAAGACTCTTGCCAATGCTCGTCTCCCCACTCTCGTTCAAGTAGATTTGAGCTTCCAAATCTAGGTTCCATGCCGGTAAATGGAGAACGTGCAATGATTCTACACTTGGCAGTTGCTGTTGCCTGATGTCTCTTTCTAATGCATTCCTGCACATCCGCATTAGCGGCAGTTTATCAGTCTTACATTATTAGACTCCATATAATGCTCTCATCGTGTCTTGCTAATTTTTGACACTGCGAGCTTCTGTGTGAGGTCTGACCAATCACAGCACTCCAAGTAAACCAATCAACTCCAAGACTGACGCGGACATACTCTTACCCAACCAGTCGCGTTGGTTCGAGTAAACTCACCACCTGCAGGTACAGTAATCAACGTGAAACCCCAATGACACCCCGGCCAGTTGTTCTGCACACACCTTCAAGTCCCCGGGGCAGATCAATCGACGAGGTAGTCAGGATTGCTCCCCTTTGGTGTCTGCGGCCTGCCTCCGGTGCTGAAAAACCCCGTTCGGCTTCCTAACAATAAGCACAGTAAGGCGAACAACCACCGGCAATCGAACATGCGGAGCGAAACGGTGAGCGATTGTAACAAGCAGACGCATGGTGACCACCAGATCCTTGTTAAAGGTCAGTCACTTGCGAGGTTCAATAATTCGGACTTGCCAGATTGGGTGGAGATACTGTGGCATCAATAGCAAGATGGAAAACACAGTCCATCGCTGGGAGGTAAAGTAGATAAGTGAAAAACTTAGAGAAGGACGAGGCGGACGTCCCCGACTGCACGGATACCATGGTGGCCACTGCTCCACACCAGGGGGGTTGGGTCATTCTCGCGTCTCCCGCGAAATATTTGGATTTGCCAAGTCCCGCCTCAGGAAGAGATATTCATTTCATTCTTCTTGCTATAATCTGCACAGTCTACTCGATTTCCTAGTTTTTTTTTTACACTTGACAAACGTGACTCGCCACAGTAGGACGCCATTGTACCTAATGGGTTTCGTGAAAGTTGGGCGGTTGGTCGACCGACTGAAGTATCAAAGCTTTAACGAAATATGCTTTTACGAATATCATGTTCTATGAGGTGATCATACCAGTCTGCCCACTTAGTGATCGCTAAATCCCGACAATAGAAGACAGCGGATATTTAGGCTTTTTGGTGCGAATCAGTGATCCGCACGAGATCGTTAGTCAAGCGCATGAATTAAATAGAATCCTGCCTTTTCAGACGGACACCTAGTCTACAGCAGACGAGCAGGACACTGTTACCGTCGCCTTCGCTAATGGCTATTTCATCGACTACTCCCGCATTTGGGCGTATGATGTTGGCGTCGTACATAGCTCCGAGTTGGATACGCTGAGAAGGAGAAGGTACCCAAAAGACTTGCTGGTGAAGTATCGAAAATTGCAGAAACAAATCTGTTGCAGATGCACAAAAAAGCCTCAGAGGCGCGAGGAACATTCGTCTTATGAGTAACAGAACCCGAAACGCTAGATTAGCAAAGTAGTCCCAAAAGAAGCAGCAGAAGATAAAAAGTGTTAATTTACTCATACATAAACAGTTGTCTGTTTAATACAACAACTCTGCACACTGTAAAGAAGTCAGATGTCAATCAATCAAAATAAGTGCGCTCATAGCGGATAAAATAGTCATAAAGTAATCGATGAAAGAGCTGCCTTTGGCGTATATTTGAAACTCCTATAAAAATATGATCCGAAGAAATGCGGCAGCACTAAAGGATGCCTCGGGTGGGGGCAAAGTTAGCCATGCTGTGGAGTCTCGGATACTAAAATTTTAGGGGATGTTGGCCGAAGATCTGGAGTCTTAGGGGGTACGAGAGCACAACGGTTCGTCTCATTGGAGTCCCGCGACTAAAGACATGGGAAGGGGAATATTAAAACGTACATTACAAAGCTATTACAGATGGTACTTAGTAACCGCATAGAATAAAAGCATGTTGTGCTTTCATTTACCAGCTTTACCGTCCCTGCGTCCGCCTGATTGCGCGTCATTATGCCACTCCGTAGCCTTATCCGTAGCACAAAGATGTTGTATTGAGCGCAGCGGCCAAGCCTAAGTAACTGCCTCCATAGACAGGCTGAAGTAAGCGACGGTAGCGGGTGTATCACTCCAACCGGCCAGTTTCTGTGGTATGGTTTGGAAAGCAGGGAGAAACCAGACGCGTCGTTGCAGCTGGGACTACTACAGGCCAGACACTGTGACTTATCTTAATGAACGTCGTTTTAACGCGGTCTTATCAATGGGTCATGATAATATTGACGTGAGTGGGGGCAAGACTACGCAGGCTTTCTCTAATTCACCGAAATACATGCATCAGCCATAGACACGATCACCGCGCTCACTCCCACAACAATAGTAACAGCCTTTAAACGCGACGGGCTGTGTATCGCCCCACAGACGACGGCCGAGAGTTCAAGTCACTTCTTCACTGTAAGTCGATAGACGACAGACGAATTTGCAGCCAAAGAGAGCTAACCAGATTCCTTTTAAATAAATTACTACAGAAATCCATTGAGAACAGAGTTAGAAAAAGTATTCTAGACATGGATTGCTTAAGACATTCAATCACCTGACAGCCTGTCGGAAATCCTACACACAATTACCACAAAATAAATGGCGGAGGGGAGGGGTAATATTTGCTCCCAACCCCGTTCTGTCAGTGTAACTTCACCTACCCACGCAATCCGGAATATCTTAGATTTCCCAACGGTCAATTAACCATAAAGGAGGGCAGTTCTTGTCATCCAAATTAGTTTGAGACAAGAGGAGCAGTGGCGACCTCAGCGAACTTAACTTCCCTGAAGAAAGGCATCTCAATGAAATCGTGGGAGGAAAGGCACTTTCATTAAACAGTAATTACAGGAAACAACGGCGTTATGATGGAGTCAAAAAGTCATTACACACGTTACCGCCAGGGCACTGAGTGCTAAAGCGGTGGTAAGTCATAGTAGACTAGTTACGCGGGAAGTGCCAACCACCAGGATGAAACTCGCAACAAAACGGGTAAAATAATCGTGTTGGCAACGTAAATGCATGAGCGAAAAGAAATTGAGTTTACTGAAAAGTTAAGATCCGTCAACACGCAGATGGCAACATGACAGCAACCACTTCCGGATGAAAGGCTGGTTGGAAGACAGTCTTATCATAAACACTCTTTGGTTTCCATAACCGTGAGAAGACAGAATGGATGTGTCGCTGGCAACCACTGGACTAAATTACCGAATGAGGCCGCCAAGGTGTGCATGAGGTAGTGGCGATATGTGGTGTTAAAATCCCGGCGGACCACCATATTCTAAGCTCTAAGATAACACAGTGGATTAACATACGGAGATGGATTATAAGTAGGCGAGAAAGAAGCTAGGCACTACATTGCTGGCTTCCGATAATAACATATTTTTTAGCCGGACAAAAGATGGAGTAAGTTCATGTTTAGGGAAACGAGGCAATTAAGAAAAGCACGTACAAATGGGGTACAGTAGTATACAACACTGTCTTTGAGATATACTCACTCACTGGTCGACACCATTAGTACTGGGTTGAAAGAAGGAGGCGATTCGGAACGTGCTATATGATGACAGTTACCTACATCCAGATTGTGGAGACAATAGACGCATAAACAAAACAGCACTTGACAGATGTAGATAACTAAGCAGGAATTTCGGGAGACAAAAACGCCTGCTGAACGCGGGAGTATGAGGAATGTTTCCACGGCTACCAAAGGGGTCTGCGGCTCAAAGCCCACCAGCAATTGGTCGCTGCTCACCTATGACAAAACAGTTCTGCTGTGGGAAATAGGAGATACAAAACCACTGAATCGAGCGCCTTTGTCGCGTCAACCGTATACATATCATATGCGAAAAGTCACCCAACAAGTCCATACAAGTTAGAACCAACGATGTCTTTGATTCGTCGTTAAGTCCAGAGGAAAAGACCAAAGAAATTAAACGACTCAAACTGGAAGACACTGATGTCGATTCGATTTGGTGCCTGTCAATATCCGGAGAGACTGGCCCGTTTAACCCAGATGCTAGGATAAAAAAGAATCGCTTTTTGAGAGCACTGAAACACACACGCCTGGAAACATAAAAAGCCTGCTACAGCCATTAAGCAATTTCCCTGCATGGCACTACGTGAAGACGCCTCGTCGCACAAGGTCGAACAGTCAAATGCTTCACCTGAAATAGGGAAGCCTGTGACGAACGAAATGTAGATTACACAGCGGCGCGAAACTGTCGATAAAGTCTGCCGGATGACCACTACAAGAGAACAGGAAATGCAAATTAGTCATTACACTGTCTCCCTGATGTGGCAGAGGTTTTGGTCATAAAGAGCGGGAGCCGACGGGAGGTTAATGAAGTGTTTGGTGCCCAGAATGTTGACATCTGCAGCAATGCAAAGGTACGGCAGAACTACCGCTCACTTTTTCGGCAACGGTTGATAATGGTTGCATTCATCGCGATGAGTTGAGAACAACAGGGATGCATACAGCCCCCAACTCTTTATAATGTCCATGGATGCTGGCGTTGTGAACACCCGACACTGACAGCAATTCCTGAACTGCATCAGCGTCCAGTCTATATGGAACAAACTACTGTTGTCAACGACCGATATTTCGTTGTTGTGAACAAACTCTGACGCCTTGGTTATATGATCCTAAAAAAACAACAAGACCGAAAGGACTGCAACATGGGTTTTTAGAACCAATCCCGCCCTCGACAGGATACAAACCCCCCATCTCCTTCAACAACAAGTTGAAAATGAACATGGCCATGGAGCAGACCAGACCCTCGTACAATGAAAAGACTCGAGTGAAGAAGCTTAACTTATGGCTTTGATTCCCTGACATGCTAAAAGTGAAGAGGCAAGAACGGATTCCAGACGTCCAAGCCTTGGAACCGAAAACAGTCATCAGCTTTGCAATGCTCGAGGAAATCCAATTTTACTGGAGCAACCACATCACAAGAACCGACAAGCGTCTACCGACCTGGCTGTCTCATCACAAAGTTGGCAGTTAGTGCGCAGGGAAAGAAGACGAATGCTGCCGTGGCAACTAGCGGGATTCACTGAAGTGCGCTGGAATAAAACAGCAGTTCGGAGCGACTGGCATAAGATCGGCCAGGACAGATAACTTCTGTAAAAAACTGGACAGCACTCCGAGATTTCGACGGAATATGGAGGCCAAGTCGGTGAGAGAAACAAGCGGCCGGAACACGACAAATAAGCACTGCTAACGCAACCCCATTGCAACGTTTCCACCTCATCTGATGTACGCGCATGGACCGGGCTAGTCCTGTTCGAGACTTTTCACATTAGAACTGAGCGACAAGCATTAAGTGCTCAAAATTGATTAATATGGCTATCATCCTATGAGACAGGTAAAGCACCGTGGGATTTTTTTGCTAGGGCAAGCATGGCAGAAGGCGAATGACGCATACTGGAAATAAATTCAGCTAATACGCAGTCATTTTGTTGCAATACAATGAAGGTTACCTCTTTTTGAGCCTTATCTGAGCCTTTGTCAGTTGGTTGCCCAAGCGACGTAAACTCAAGAGGGATGATGGAACTTCTTCCGCTCGGGCGTGTATTGTATATATTTTCCTTCCGTGATGTCAGTTGCGGACTAACGAAATGTGGTTCAATCTGAAACATAATCAAGATAATTTAAGCCACTACCCAAGCATGTTTGCTGACTGCAGGAACAACAGGAACTCGCGGGTGACGCTCAGTGCAGTGAATATAATCCGAATTCAACGGTAGTTTTGCAGATGGCTCATATAAGAGTTCTAAGGGCGGAATTATGTCTTTCTTTTTACATCGGGCCATAAAATTTGCGCAAGTTCAATTCTCCAAAGGGGCAAGGCCGAGATGACTAACATGCCCCAGAACGAAGGAAACCTGCCACCGATGAACTGTAACCTACGCTTAGCTAGCCCTGAAGGTGGATGCGATAATTATAGAACATGCGGAAGAAACCTAATAGAACGCGCAACCCGCAAGACTAAAAAGCGACAAAACCAACAGAAATTGGTTGGTTAAAACTAGCAAATGCCAAAGTCAGCATGCCAGAAAAGCGAAGGAATGTGATAATCACAGTAAAAATGCGATTGAAAATTGTGTTTTATTAATGGTATTTCCAACCGACCATCGTCCGTATTGACCATTTGCCGTACGGTTAATCGGTTATGCAGGTGAAAGCATATGCACATTCTTAGCGCCATTTCTAACCAGCTGACATTTCTGGGCGGACCACAGGAAACCGAAAGCCAGGAAAAAATTTATAGTTTGAGAAAGCTGTGGGAAATTTTAAAAACGGTTAATCGTATGCTAAGTGTCCTTCTGAAATTCTCTCATCACAAAAGTCAGCTCCTAATGACTACTATATGTCATATTCGAATCAAACGCGTAAAACGTGCACGCAGATTCAGTGCTTTCTGTAGCACTACAGCGCACGTGTTCAGGGGAACAAGGCCTAACCTGCTAAAGCCCAAAAAGCTATTGTTCTAGAAGATTCTTGCGTTTCGAAGTTTTCGGCGGGCAAAATTTCATGGATGTGGTCCACTTTAACGAGCGTTGTCGTGATTCTATCGATCTTTTTCTATACCACATCGAAACACATATTCGTACATCTTACCTTGGTATTTTGGCCGGTTGCTTAAGAATGCACTTACCTTTGATGTTTCCATCAAGGTCAATGCGCGCAGCAAGATTTTGCAAAGTTTAGTGCAATATACATTTTTAATTCAATTTCGTAATCTCTTGCACAGTTTCTCAGTATAAATTTTCAAAATTTCCTATTTTGCTCATAAGTCATCTTCCTTTCCCGTCGTGTTTTGTCGATTTGTCATAAAGTAGAAATAAAGTGTCATAGTTTTTCACCCAACATATATGTTGCCCTTACATATAAGAGGTTTTCCTCGTACATTTTTAACGATAAGTCTCCACCACTGACCGTTTTTATAGTCGATTTATTAACTTTTAAGAGAACTATACTCTCCGTTATTTTATCCTACAGAGCTTGATTATTCAGTATAAATGTTATTCACAGTTTTGTTTTGTCACCTACGAAATCGTCATTTTAATGTTTTTCTTAATTTCAAATCCTGTTATTGAGTTAAAATTGCTTAGTAACAATTGTGCTGTCTGGTCTACCAAAATTGATAGCTTGCAGAAATTACCTCATCATACGTAGCCTCACCCTTATATCCTCAAAGTCCCGGCAACTATCATCACTAAAAATTGGGATTAAAGTCTTGTTCTGCTTATTCGACATGAAACCCTAGGCAACCCTTCGTCGAAATCCGAACGAAAATAATCTCTAAGCTTTCCTATTGAAACCCATTGCACATATGAAAAAATAGATGTAGGAGCGCTCGACAGTTTTAGCTATTTTATCTCGCATTACGGATCATTTTTTTGTTCTTTGTGCCTTTCTTGAGGGAAAGTTGCCAACACGTACTTCTCAGCAATGTGAGAAGCTCATGCCTCCCATTGGCCTGGTTGCTAGTGATACCGAAGACAGGCACAAACGAAGTTTGAACCTTATTTCAAAAAACGCTTCTAGAAGTAGACAGCCAATCGATGTCGACTTCCACTTCCTTTATTCCCGTGGCTTCATCTTTAACGTCCCTGAAACTAAACGACTTTCATTTAGGAGCGAAAATCCACCAATTCTTGTCAAACTATTTCCGTCGACAGAAGTTTACTTTATTTTCTCCAATTTGCCGCGCTCACCTGATTATCTTAGGGTCAATAAACTTTTAATTAGTCGGGCTAAATCTCCACTGGAACTAAGTGTTTCTCCTCCATTAACAAACGTAAAGCCACCCCGGAATTGTACTCTGTTATGACCCGCCTGGTACGTGAAATCCTGTGGAGCGTATGCGCACTCGACCCTTGTCCCCAATACCAACGCGGCAGAGAAGGAGAACGCGACCGGCCACGAAACTGTGTATTAGGCAAATGCAAGTCAAAATGAACTGGAAGTAACGCGTATTTATAACGCCTTACGGTGCTTCGCCGGCGTTCGGCCCAAGGCCCTTCGGGAAGAACATTCGAGACGAGCCGGTCGATAATCCGAATATGCTGATCGATCAGGCCCGAGAGGAAAATCCAATGGAGAGGCGCCACGATTAAGATGACAGCGCAGTAGAGAAAACGCACGTGGCCTCCCGTGATTGGCTGGCTCTTGTTTTTGGGAGTGTAGGCACTCCCAACACCTCCCCTCCAAGTAGGTCAGTACCGCTTCTGGCGTGGGTTGACCTGCATCGGACGTGTTGATCGGCGCACGCGGTTGGTCCGGCGTCTTAGTCGTGGTTTAATGCCTGGAGATACGGGAGCGGTAACTGATACCGAGGATGGTATATCCGAAGGGAGCGCAGAAGTGGGTTCGGGAACCGACTGATCTGCCGGAATGGCGAAGGTATCCAGTAGGATGTCGAGAGAGAGTGACGGCGCCGAATCGAGCCCAGTTGTGTTACTGCAATGTCGCCGTCGGATCTGGTTGTGGTGGCGAACCCAGATGTCATCACCAACGTCGACGTCAAACAACATACTGCCTCTGTGCGATACTACGGTTGCTTCAATCCAGTCTGGGAACCCCGCTCGATAATCACGAACGAAGACAGGTGTTCCGATGGAGAGCTTGCTGCGAGAAACTGGAGAAGTCTGCGCGGGCTGCGCATCGGTAGGGACGAGGGCATGAAACGTTGTACGCAGTTTTCGGCCCATCAACGCTTCGGCAGGAGAAACGTTACCAGGGGACGCCGGGTTCGGTGTCGTCCTGTAGGAAAACAGGAACGCCTGGACTATCTCGTCCGTGGTCCCCTCCCCACGGGCTTTCAAGAGGGCTCTCTTAAACGTGTCGACAAAACGCTCCGCCTGACCGTTAGACTGAGGATGGTAGGGCGGGGAGCGAAGATGCTGGATGTCGTGCTGGCGGCAGAAATCTTCAAACGTCGACGAGATAAACTGAGAACCATTATCTGAAACCAGGACTTCTGGTAAGCCATGTTGGCTAAAGATGCGTCGTAGGAAGGCGATAGTGGCAGATGCGGTTGCTGGATTCAGCGGAGCAATCTCGGGCCATTTCGAGTAGGCGTCAACCAAGATTAGGTAGGAGACTCCGTTAAGTGGGCCAGCGAAATCGATATGCACGCGTGACCAAGGCCTCTCCGGTGGTTGCCAGGGTATTGGAGGTTGACGAGGCGGCATCTTGGCAGCTTGCTGACATCGAGAACAGCGTCGAACCAGGTCGTCGATGTCGCCGTCGATATCAGGCCAGTAGGCAAAACTGCGAGCAATAGACTTCATTCGGCTGGCACCAGGATGAGCCGCATGGAACTGGCGTAGTACAGTGGGTCGGAGGGAAGATGGGATCATCACACGGTCTGCAAACATGAGGCAGGAGTCAACCATAGATAGCGATGCTCGGCGGAGGAAGAGCTGGCGAAGATCGCCAGCGAGAGCAGTGGTTGGCCAGCAGGTCTGCACGTAGGTGATGGCCTGGCGGAGGACAGGATCCTGTTCAGTAGCACGTCGGATGTCCACGGCAGTGACAGGGATACCTCGTATGGCGTCTGATAGCTGACGGCGCACACCGTCCTCAATCGAAATAGCTGCAATCACGGTATCTTCCTCCGGTTCCTGCTGATTGCTGATGAGGCGAGAAAGGGCGTCAGCCTGACCAAAGTCTGTAGTACGACAGTAGCGAATGTCGAAATCGTAGCCAAGAAGGATGGTTGCCCATCGGTGAAGTCGGCTGGCTGAGTAGACGGGAATGCCCTTCTTCGAACCGAAGATTGACAGCAATGGTTTGAGATCCGTCAACAACGTGAAGTTGCGACTGTACAACAGTTTGTGAAATTTCTTGACGGCAAACACGAGGGCTAGAGCTTCTTTCTATATTTGCCCATAGTTCTTCTCCGCAGGGGTTAGCGTGCGAGATGCATGCATGATCGCCTTTTCAGACCCATCAGGAAAAGTATGTGAGATGACGGCACCAACTCCGTGGTTGGAAGCATCTGCAGCAACAACGATCGGCAGCGTCGGGTCGTAGTGTGTGAGCAACAGATCTGAACTCAGCATCGACTTTAGCTGGGCGAAGACCTTTTCACAGTCGGGGGACTAGCACCAAGGAGCATCCTTCTGCAACAGACGGTTGAGCGGGGCCCGTACGTCATGCAGCGATGGTAGGAAGGCGCTATAGTAGCTGATCAGGCCAAGGAACGAACGAAGTTGCGATACATTCTTGGGGGCAGGCATCCGTTGGATGGCCCGAATGTTTTCAGGATCTGGATGGCGACCATTGGCGTCAAAAACGAATCCAAGGTACTTGATGGAGTCGAGGAAGAATGGGCACTTGTCGGCCCGTAGGCGAAAGCCATATTCCTGCACGCATTCGAGTACTGCGCACACTCGGTCTTGCAGCTCGGCAGGGGAGCGACCCACGATGATGATGTCGTCCAGGTACCCAGCTGTGCCAGAGATGCTGGAGAGCATTGCGTTCATCGTTTGTTGAAATAGGGCCGGGGCGGTCTTGACACCAAAGGGCAGCCTGGTGTATTGGAACAGACCGCGGTGGGTATTGATGGTCAACAATTCGCGCGACTCTGGGGCGACCTCGATCTGCAGATACGCATCAGCAAGATCCAACTTGGCAAAGCAAGTCCCACCATTCAGCAGGATGAAAAGATCAGCCGGAACCGGTAATGGATAGCAGTTCGGCGTCAGCGCGGCATTGAGACCGGTGGAGAAGTCAGCACAAATGCGGACCGAGCCATTGGGCTTCTTAACCACAACGATTGGAGCGGCCCAGGCGGAGTAGGATACAGGAACCAGAACTCCCAATTCCTCTAGACGCTTCAGTTCAGCCTCGACAAGTGGTAGAGCTGCATATGGGACTGGTCGCTTTGGACGGAAGACTGGTTGACTTCCAGGAGACAGATGTAGCACGGCTTGTGTGTATGTGCAACGACCCAGGCCGTCTTGGAACACTGGAGCAAAGCGTTGGAGAATGTCCTTGGCTTGGTCTGCAAGCACAGCGGGAATCTGCACCTGACTGCAAACAACGCGGAGCGACATATCGGCCAACCCAAGTTGTTCAATCCAGTCGAGACCAAGTAGGTTTAGATCAGACTTGGTGATGTAGCAGATCGCGGTGATGCTGGTACCGCGGAACGACACACAGCATTGCAGCTGCCCAATTAGCTGTACGAGACCACCGCACGCGCTTGTGGCGGACCGGGAAGTCGGCTGCATCGTGGGACTGCCAAGGGACTGCCAGAGTCTCTCAGAGATGATGGTGATATCTGAGGCAGTGTCCAACTGTAGACAAACTGCATGGCCATTGAGCAAGACATCAACGAATTTTCTACGACCAGACGCATTGAGCCGGAAAGCGGCCAAGAGACTCAGAGAATTACCAACGGACTGGAGTTTGGACTTGCGTTTTGGCCGGAAACGGTGCCTGGAATTAGGAGTGGCGGGGGCTGGCTTGCCTACAGAAGCTGGTACTGATTTGCAGAACCCATCACGGTGTCCCACCTGATTACAGCTTTGGCAGCGATGCAGGCGGAAAGTGCAATCCCGGTGGAAATGCCATGCGCCACAGTGCCGACAAGGAGATGGCGGAGATCTCGGCTTGGACAGTTGCTTGGGCCGTGTAACAGGATGCAATTTGGTCGATGTGACCGTATGGACTGAGAAAGATGAGGCCGGGTTCTGAATCATTGCAGAGTCGTGCTTGAGATTGATCAGTGTTTGGCACTCTGCTGCCAGCTCTTGGAGTGTGATAGAGTTGCACTGCTGCACTTTGGACAGGAGACGAGTCCGGATATCAGCATCCTTGGGGGACTGGAGGCCGCAGATAAATATAAGACATTTAAACTGGTCTTCAGTAAGAGAACCGAGTTGAAAACGCCCACACTCACGATTGACAATGCCCGCATACGTGATAAAATCATCGGAATCGCGTTTGCACAGCTGCAGGCACTGAAATCGTGTGTTGAAAAGGGATGATTGATCACCAAAAATCTGCGACAACGTCTTAACCGTGTCCTTGAAAGCGACCTCTCGGGGATTCTTGGGGAGGATGAGGTTTGCATAACGCTCGTGTTCAGCCGGACCCAGTTTGCGAAGTAGGAGTCGAACCTTCCATGCATCGTCCTGGGCAGCCAGATCGACAGAGAACAAGTCCTCGTATCGTTTGTACCAGGAATCAAAGGTGATATGGGCCTGCGGGTCATACAGGAAATCAGTGATGCTGCCGGCAATGTGATCAACAGATTGTGAACCACCAGCCGCGCTTGATTGGCCCATGGATGAATTGGATAGCTTGACGGTCAGAGCCTCCATCAGCTTCAGCTGCTGCTGCAACATCTGCTTCAAGTCTGCGTACTCGTCAGCCATTGTAGTTGAAAAACTGCGTCGCCAATTTGTTATGACCCGCCTGGTACGTGAAATCCTGTGGAGCGTATGCGCACTTGACCCTTGTCCCCAATACCAACGCGGCAGAGAAGGAGAACGCGACCGGCCACGAAACTGTGTATTAGGCAAATGCAAGTCAAAATGAACTGGAAGTAACGCGTATTTATAACGCCTTACGGTGCTTCGCCGGCGTTCGGCCCAAGGCCCTTCGGGAAGAACATTCGAGACGAGCCGGTCGATAATCCGAATATGCTGATCGATCAGGCCCGAGAGGAAAATCCAATGGAGAGGCGCCACGATTAAGATGACAGCGCAGTAGAGAAAACGCACGTGGCCTCCCGTGATTGGCTGGCTCTTGTTTTTGGTAGTGTAGGCACTCCCAACATACTCATCTGCCATTTGCCTCTGATGCGGATTCTCCATCGAGCGTCAACCAAATCTCCCTCCTATCTTCAGCGACCCCTGTTCCGTCTAGCTCTTCAACTGAACATATTGTCGCTGAGTTATTTGAAACCAACCACATTAAAACGCCTCCCAGATTCAAGGATTGCTCAAATGCTGCTCCAAAATTTAAACAGGCCGCCTGATTATACCAGTAAAAATGGACCAGTCCTAGAAGTACAATCGTCCTCCAGCACTCACAATATTGAATAAGTTAATGAACCTGGGTCGAATCCACCCCGTTCCCGTGCCAGGTCACTCAGATCTGACCTAGCGGTTAGGTCAAATAGCCAGATGATAGTTCAGGGAGATCTTTCTCTGTTCCTATCCCTAATTCCCAACCTAACAAAAAAAACCACGGCTGTGAAGCCCACTTGCACACCAGCCTGTAAAATGCAAGTATGTAGTGTTGCTGCTAATTTTTTCAGTCCCACTGCTAGCCTGACACCCAAAATAATAAAGCCTTCTTCTAAAGTATGCTGTTTCTCTAAACTATTTAATCCGTCATCTAAAATAATTTACCCCTAATATTACGCTAAAAAATTCTCAAAATTCTAATTTTGTGCCTCCCATTCATCCAACCCCACAAGATAGCTTTCCTCTTCCTGGGTCCTGCCCAAATATGTTTCCATACAATGCTGTATCGTTAGTTAGTGATAATATCACCACAAATTTCAGACCCCAGCGACTTTGTTTACCATCTATTGCTTCTTCTTTACAGCTTAATTTACCACCACTAGCTCTCCATTTTTTTATAAGTAGCAATGAGAGGGACCTACATATTAGGAATACGCTCAATATTGTCTCTCCCAATGCACGATAATTCGTGCAAGAGATGTCACAACTAAAAAATGTGGCTGTTGATTTTGACCCAGATGCCGTGTGTATTAGAGAATCTTGGGCTCAGTCTCTACCTTCAGGCTCAGTTCTCAATACAGATAGTCCCGGTTTATACCGCCAGGATCGTGTTGAAAGACGCGGCGGTGGTTGCCTTCTTTACATCAGAGCCTCACTTGCACATCCGCCTTATGGCCTGAACACTTTTTCCTTCTCCGGAAATTTATGTCTCGCCTTGATAATCCCTCCGCAAAATAGAAAAGCCTTGGTCGCGTGTGCATATAATCCTCCGCGTTACTCCGGAAATGAAGTGAGCTTTGTGCACTCTTTGAAAAAATCGAAGAGACTTCTTTCAATGTCAAGATCATCGTAGGGGATTTTAATATTCCGGAAATTGACTGGCACATACACAAAGGCTTCTAGACACCACTGACTGCTCAAACTGGTCTCAATTATCCCGACTAATTATCTAAAAGAAATACCTTGGCTAGGTTGACGCGCATGCTCTAAGTTGCCTTAGTTTTGCCGATCACCGACACTCATCAGAATTCAACTCTGGCCCCCGTAAATTTCGAACCCTCACCCCCAATCACTGATTTTTGGGGTTTCTGAGGTCAGCTTATCATTTCGACCCCAAGCGCTCCATCGGCGCTCTTGACGGAACGCTTTGTATTCGCCATCTGCTATCAGTTTGGTCGCATCTCCCTTTGCCCCCTCCTCGGTTAGACTCGAGGCGAAATGTGACCGATCGCGTCTGGGATCTTCTCGTCTCGACACGTTGACGTGTGTGCCTCATCCGGCATATGAATTCTGCCTTGATGATGATGTCCGTGTCGAACCTTTTGCTCAGCGGCAGTTTTTCCTCCTTTAATGTTAGTCCAGCCATATTTATTTTGTTTATTCGTCAGGAGTTTCTCTTCACCGCTCGCTCATCATTCTTCGTAGATTCTGTCTACATGTTCTAAAACTCATATAAAAATGTACTATTACTTGCTATGACCGGAACCCACGGACTTAAATAAAAATTAATTAATTATTTTCATTAGTTATTTATCTTTTACTTGAACGAGTTTCTTCATGGCATATTCCCGGTGGCTCAAGGATCGGATTTATCACCCAAACATAACTTCGCAAAACTAAACTTGTAGAAGAGTCACAGAAGCGTTGCGGTTCGCGTAGAAATGCTCGGCCAATCACTCTTAGACATTCTGAAACCCGTCCAAATATCGCTTTTTTAATCACTCACTCCTGAAGTGGCACGCGCAATCTTGATAACTATTTATGGGGGTGATGGTTGAAGAACCAATTGTGACTAAGCAGATTGGTGGATTAAAACGTAGTTTCCAGTTTTTTTATAGCAGTAATCTCTTATGAAATTTTTT